CCCAAAAAAAAAGAAAAAATTTCACCTTCTTTTCCACTCAAACCATCATTACACCAACTTCCACCCCAACCTACACCCCAAACCCTAATCACGCCACCAAAGAAGTAATTGTCAAAGAACTAAAAGAGAGAAAATGGCATGATGTCGTTTATGAGAAATCCACAAAGGGATGTCCAGGAACCATCTATGGAGTATGTGCGGCTTGAAATCTTCCAACTACAATAAAAGCTTGCCACCTTCAAGAGGAGACAATCCGAACAAGTCACTAATAGTCAAAATGATGACTTGCTAGATCAAATGAATAGAGTAAACCTCTTCCACTATGCGGATTCCAGGAATGAAGAACCTCTACCACAAAGATTTGAACTGAAATATTTGAGAAGCCAGAATTTTGAAGTAACGCTGGAATTTCAATGTTTTGACGGTCATTTGGATCCAAACAAGTTCATCGAGTGTCTTCAGACTGTGGAACTTTTCTTTGGGTACCAAAAAGTCCCTCCAGACAAAATGGTGAAACTGACCACCAACAAGTTAAAAAAGAGTGCCTTATTTTGACGAAAAATTTTGAAGCACTTACACTACAGTGAAAAAAAGACAAGATCACCACTTGGTCTAAGATGAAACGGGAGATGCAGCATTAGTACCTGCTAGTTCATTACAGATCAAATGTTCAAAGCATAGCATCAAAACTGGAGACACAATATTGCAGGATGACCACCACATCTTACAGGCAGAATTCAACCTAAAAAACTTACAATCAGAGTACACCCAGGGTAACATTCAAGCCGACCCTATCTGAGAAGAAACTAATTCAAAGTAGAGAACAGGTAGAGCGAACAAGAATTCCCAAATATGTCTCAACTAGAAAGTATGTCAAGTGTCATGATTTTGAGCACAGTGCACCAGATTGCTCAAACAAGGGTACAATCTATTTCACTGAGCAGCGAGCAGTTGAAGAAATAGACGATAACAGAGTATATACTAAAGAAAGTGATGACACAAGAGATGAGTGACAGTTGTCAGTAATAAGAAAGAGATGTCATCGATTCCAATTGAATCCAAGACAGAGATTCTACTTGAGTTAATAGTAGTTCTAAAAAGTAGTGACTCCAAGATAATGGGCATTTAGGCAAAGTATGAGATTTTATTGGCTCAAACTACTTTTGGTAAGAGTTGAGAAAAGCATCAACACGATTAACATTAGATATTCAAAGGGAAGGGGCTATGAGTTTGAAGCGCATATACCACACACGGTAAATTTCACATGAGAGAATTCACAACTTTCAGATAAATGACCTACCTCCTGAGTTTTCTTTAATTAGGAAGGTCCAACTTGTCAGAGATGAGATCTATTGTGCCACTTCTGAAAAACTATAAGTCATTTAGGTATTAAAATCAATTCAGCAGTGTACCCACCGACAACTGATCAGACAGAATGGAGGAACCGCAGTGTTGAAAATCTCCTTCGAATTTTTGGGGAAAAGAACATCCTACAGGAGGATTCAGATCCTTTCAAAGAAGAAGAAGAAGCCCCTCCTTAGTGGTATGGCCCGACTTATCATAAATGTCGTTCCAGAGTTGATTCCTCCTGAAAGACTTGTTTATCAGATACATCCAGCCAAGTTTGACGGGAAGAAACAAATTGTAAATTTACTTGCTCGAAATTTTGCTCATAAGAATATACGTCGATATGCAACTCTAGCTCAAATAGTGTCAAAAATGGATGAATACTTATTCTATGTATTTTTGAATAACAATGTCTGCAGGAGTGACTTACCGAAAAGTTACAGTAGCTCTACCACCTTCAACAAGGCCAACCTGACTAGTATGAGGAAGAAGTTTCGACATATGAGAACGAAGCTGCCCAACCCCAGAAGACTGATGCGGGAATTGCCCGCAACAATCCCTTCAACTTGTTATGCTATAGTGTCCATATTCTAGCTACAATACAGTAAAGAGCCATCTCACATGGAATCGTTCACAATCCCTACTACGGTACAGCGGGAGATTGCAGCTTGGACCAGTCAAGGAGGGTCGATAATCACTTCTTTTATGTATATTTCCCTCCTATTTGGAGTGGAGTCTGCTCCTATTTTCCCCAAGTCTATAAGTATGTTATTTTCGTGTTTTAAGTAAGTTTTTTGTGAGTTTTCAGCCAATGAAACTGTTGACGTTCCCTGGAATCCCTTCAAGGGCTGTATCAGAAGACGAGTGGTCTTCCGGCTATATCTTGCTCTGAGGTAGTGACTATTCTTGACATTCTTATTCCTCTGCAGCCTTGATGCCTCCTGCGGTCCCCGCACCTCCTTGTCACCTCCGTCCTCACCGCCATCACTGTTCCAGCCTCCCTTTCCGCTGCCCCACGGTTCCAGCGCTCCTATTTGTTGCAATCATTGTTCCAGCCACAAAAAATCCCCTTCCCTTCTCATCAGTTGCTATTCCAACCATCCAAGGCCATGTCCCTGCCACCTAATCTCTGCCTCAGCCCTCTTGCACAACCTCCCTGCCTCATCCACCTTGTTGCCACCTAAAGCAGCAAAGGAATGTTGTTATGTTGTCATATCCGCCCCCTTGCTCCGAGCTCCCACCATACCCCCAACAACCACCACCATCACCTGTGATCCACCCTAATTTGTGTTGGTGTTGTTATTTGTCGCAATTCTCATAATTTTGTGTCGTGTTGTTATACTTTTCGTCTTTTAGTTGTGTGGTTTAACTTCCCTATTTGAATTTCAACAATAAGTTTTTGTCATCCATTGTTGTTTCGGTTAACTCTGGTGTCAAAACATTTGCTAAAACGAGTGATAATTCCTTACATATTTTAAGCATACTTGAAAACAAGCAAACCATAAGGCTAATAACTTCAGAAGAAATCATAAAATAATTTTGGACAACTGCATAAAGACCACCCGAAATTTGCTATTTACAAATCAACTACCCTCTTTCATCCATTTTTTTTCAAATTCTTGATCAAATATCAGAATTCATGGTAAAACTCCAACCCATATTTTTCATTGTTATCAAATTCTCTATAGTTCGATCGTGGCACGCATAAATACATTGATTCAGTAGTTCAAAAAAATCACCTGGTGGTTAGTTTGTAAATATCAATGTTTTGGGTGGCTTGTATGTAATTATCCCAAGAATTATTGAGTTTCTTAATGTTTCAATTGCACTTAAACACAGTAATGAGACATCAAAATTGCCATTGTGAAAAACTTTAAAGATCAGTAAGACCAAAATTTTCATCACAAACAATATTTGCATCTTCTCCGGTTGAAATAAAAGTGAGAAGCATGTGCTTATATGACTAAAAGCAAAATATAACAACAAATTTCCAATCAAAAGAAAAAAGCTACTGACAACATCTCCGCTCCATCGGGCAGCGACGTCAAGAGCTTCTCCAAGCATACCACTAAATTTTGGACGAAGCACTGATAATATTCCATGACCTCTCCTTTTCTGAAAATTAAGCTGGATCTCAGCCTACCCGCAAAGCAATCAAAGAGAAGAAAAGTCAGCAAGAATTTATCATTATGAGTTAGAGAAAACTGGCTATAAAATATGGAAAGCAACATTAAAATGAGGAGAATCATTAAAATTTTGAGTTAGGAGAACAACTTTTAGTAGGATAGCTTAATCACAACTCAATAATCTTATAAGCTGATAAACCATAAAGGCAGAAAAAAAAACTTCGATAATTCATACTTTGATTATATGTTATTAACTTCTATAGGCAAACTCCCTCGCTGTAAGAGATTCATGGATAACAGTATGAATGACTTCAATGCAAAAAATTTTACAATTTGATAGACTGAAATCTTACAATTTGAATTCTAGTAAAATGTTCTACTCCTACAAATCATATTGCTTCATGAAAACAATGTGGCCTGCAAATTCCAAATACTATGGGTGCTATTTCACGCCAAGGAGGGCCGGATTCTAAGGACCTAGCAGAATTTCTGCCGTCGGATCCCGTAGTGGGATCTTTTAAGCATGGAGCCTGCGGGCCCTATATCTAAGTTTTATATATATAGAATTAGGATTTAATTTATATTTTAGTTTAAGCATACTCTTCAAAAACTTGGTTTGGACATTTTTTGCTTTGATATATCTTATTTGGAGAAATTTTTTTGTTTCTCCTATTTGGAGTATTGTAGCCTATTCTGCTTGAAGTAGTATGTATCTTGAATAGAATGGTTAGTCTAACCTTCCGACATCCTTACATGACTGTCCAATGTGCAAGCCGCATCCATCTTTATTGTTTTTCCTCCAAGACAACAATCCATTGAGCAAATGAAAGCTTCTCCGCCTTGTCCTCGCAGACAAGCGGAATCTTCTTTGTCTTGTCCTCGCAGACAAGCGGAATCTCCTCAAGCAGAGAACATCTCGGTCCAGGCAGCAGTGCAGCGCTCTCATCCCAGCCTGCAAGCTAAACTTGTGATGAAAACTTGCGCACTTGTCTGCGAATCGAGAATCCTGTGAACTTTCTCTTTGATGAAAATCCGAAATTCCTTGGCGCTCAATATTCTTTCTCCAATGAAAATGAAAATTCTATGTCGACGACAGAAAAATTCTCTCTAATGGAAATCCTCATGATGACCAAATACGACATGAAAGTTAGCCTTCAATAGTTATGCCAAAACATGAACCTGAGATGTTTGGTTCTACAACATCTGAATTGATTCCTTGCATCACCAATCATAGACAACATACAATTTTCTCAAACAATCTCAATTTGTGCTCATGCACATTTGTGGTAAAAGAAAGATGATCATCTCACCGAGGAAAATCCTACATAAGAAATTAACGATATTAAACATAAGACGTGGAATATTGAATATCAAATGGTCATGCCATGACTTGTCAAATCATCACGAAAATTGGAGAATTTTCTCTTGTACAGAATGGCAAATAAAATATGGGAAGCTGTAAGGGAAACATATTTAATTGTTGACTACATCTCTGAGTTGTTTGACCTTAAAACCTGATTACATGACCTGCGGCAGGGTAAGTTAAATGCCACTCAATACTTTAAACTCTCTCCAAATATTGGCTCCAAGTTATGTATGAAACATACAAGTGGAAGTTCTTGCAATATTCTGCTCTTTACAAAACCATTATTGAACAGCAGGCCATCGATTTTTCTCTAAGACTCAACAAGGAATTAGATAAAGTCGGAGAAAGAATCATGGGAATCAAACCTCTTCTTTCAATTTGTGAAGCCTTTATTGAAATACGAAGGGAAGAGAGAAGAAACTCATGATGGCCCATAATCCCACTACATCAAATATTGACAAGTTAGCTTTATACGACCACAAATCATCTCAAAACAGCAAAACAAAGAGAAATAGACCGTAGCGTGAACCTTACAAGAAGCTTGGTCATAAAAAGGAGACGTGTTAGAAAATTTATGGAAAGCCTACAGATTTGAAGCCCAACAAACTCAAAAGCTATGGGGAAAATCAATCAAACACGGCATCAAAGGAAGACAAGTCTCATGAATATAGTCCATTCATCAAAGAAAAACATGAAGCTCTTCAAAGTCTTCTGGGATAAAATTATGAGCCTTCTTCTGTCTGCTCTTTCTGCCCTCAACAAGAAGAATCAGACTTGGATATTGGACACTTGAGAATCTGATCACATGACAAATGCTATCACTGTTTTCGAATCCTTTCATTTTTGCAAACAACATGCTACAGCTAGAACCACAGATGGATCCATCTCATCTATGGAACGAAAAATAAGTGTAAAACTCACAAAGGATCTTATTGTTCAATCTATGTTTTATGTTCCTAAAATAAATTGTAATCTATCTTCTATCAATAAATTTACTCATGACATAAACAATGTTACTAAATTCTATTCTAATTTGTGTGAATTTAAGTGAATGACTATAGGGATGTGATTGACAGTTCTAATATGTATCACGAACTTTATTTACTCACTAGGACTTCCACTTCAGAATAATTTGGGACCTCCAAAGAAGACATCGTTACATCTCAGAGAAAATTTATTATTGACTTAATAAAAGAGACAGGAATGTTGGGGTGCAAACCAACAAATACTCCAATAGATTCCAATCCACGAGAATCAAAAGAAGAGGATAACAATTCAATTAAAAATGGAGGAATCAAAGAATTGTGGGAAAATTTATTTATTTATCACATATAAGGCCTGACATTGTCTTTTATGTGGGTGTAGTGAGCCAACATATGAACGGTCTAAATGAATATCATTTAGAAGCAATTTTTCGAATTTTAAGGTACCTAAAGATGACTCTAAGATGTAGACTGTTATTCAAAAAAACTAAAAAATCATAACATTGAGATCTACACTGATGCTAGTTGGGCAGGAGAACTAACTGACAGAAGAACTACCACAAGTCACTATTCATTTGTATGGAATAACCTAGTTATTTGGAAAAGCAACAAAGTAATTTGTTATGGCGAGAAGTAGTGCAGAATCTTAGTATCGTGCCTAGACCTTAGGAATTTATTAAGGAATGTGGCAAAAGAAATTAATGGTAGAACTACACATAGAAAACAAAAAACATTATTAAGATAATCAGTGACAGCCGATCAGCCAACAATATTTCAAATAATTTGGTACACCATGATAGAACCAAATTAATAGAGATTGACAAGCACTTCATCCCTAAGAATGTTAATAGAAGGACTATGCAGATAAGTTATATTCCAACTTGGTATCAGATTGTTGACATTCTTACCAAAACTCTTCCTCAGCAGCACTTCAGTAATCTACGTGGCAAGTTGGGATTTATGATGTATGCAGCCCAACTTAAGGAGTGTTAATATACACGTAACCATGTGCCATATGGGCCCACACACTGAAGCGGGGCATAGGACCTGGCTGAACCGGTTAGCGGGTCAGCAGAGAGAGTTTTGATCCAGCAGAAGGCTGGACCGGCTATCCCCTCCGCTCCTTTAGGCAGAATTTACCGCTCCCACTGTCACCCCACCCCCTCTTTTCCAATTTGATTCCTTCAATCTTTTCCAATTTGATTCCTTCAATAGGGGAAATTCCTTCTTATTCTATTCTTTTCCTTTTTATCCTTTCCTATTTTATGTACTATGTTTTATACGCATGTTGTGTGCTTGCTTAGAATGCAATTTTTTAATTTTTTGCTAATTCCAGATCTCTACCTCCGAACTGTCTCCCTTCCGAGGATTGTAACTGATGGAGAGAAGATACTCGGGTTGTAACTCGTCCGAGGTGGTGATTATCTATGTTTGTTCCATCTTTTCCTGCTGTCACCCAGTCCACTGCAACCCTGCTGCTCGCAGTCAGCTTCCTCCAGCATCTTCCAACAAGTCGCCCTTCCTCCATCTCCCTTCCTACAGATCTCCCTACCTCCTGCACCTGCTAGACAGACCGTCGACACCTCCAACTCCATCCAGCCCAACAGCCACCTGTATGCAGCCATTTCAGCAGGTCATCATGGCTTCCCTAATCCCTTCTGCATTGCCACACCTACTTCCAGCACACCACCAAAATATCCTGCTCCCTCCAGCCCTGTTGCACCTGCCTCAAGCTGATCGTCATGCCTTATGTTCCCTCCAGCACCACTACACCATTTGCACCATCGCACCGCCCTCTACTCCCGTCCAGACCTGCAGCTCTCTCTTAAGGGTCGTTTATGTGTTTTGTATTATTTTATTCTTACTTTGAGGAGTTATCATTATGACTTTTTTTTAAAATATCAGTAATAATATTTCTTTCTATTATGGTTTGAGTTAATTCCAGTATCACCCACGGCTTAAAAAATTGTGGTTCAACTGCTACATTTGAGAAAGAGAAATTATTCTCTCTTAATTGTCTATTATTGCATTTTTACTTCTTTCCCTCTTATCAAGATGATTTAAATTGCCCTCCAATGGTATGAGAGTTATTTTGAGCTATATATATATTTGTTTTTTATTTGTATTACTTGAATGAAAATTTTGAGAGTTTTTTTCTAAAAAAATTCCTCCAAAATTACCATAGTTTTACTGTTCCAATCTCCACCCACTTCACATATTAATTCCGTTTATCATTCCATAACATCTCGATACTAGATCTGATCCTTGAACACCTTATGGAAATCCTAGAACAATATCACCATATAAATGTTAACCACATATGATACTTCACATGCTAACCACATATGATACTTCACAGTAGCATGTAACAAAATATATCCAACACCACCGACAAGCACTAGCAGGCAACATGCACCTCGAATATCGGTGTAGAGGCCCAAGTTTAATTTTGACTTATATGTGCCGCAATATTCTGCTCTCTATATCAAGTTCACGAGTCTGTAATAGATTATGTTCACTAATAGAACTAACAAACTTATCTCGAATAGATTTATATCAATAAAATAAAATAAAATAAAATCCAAAACTTCATATACATCACTCAAATGTCATCCCACAATTTAGAGTTGCTTAGAACAAATGATTTATAGTGATTTAACACAA